AAATGGGGATCAAATGGGGAAGCTAATCACTTAGCAAGCATACATAGAATGAGCAAGGGATTTCCAGAAAGGAAATGGGCCAGGGAGATTGATGCTTATTTAGAATATCAATCACTGCTTTTTATCCTCAGGGGGAATATTTGGGTGCAATACCTTTTCTTTTTTTATAGTGCTGACCAGAGCATATGGCTCACTTTTCTATCCTGAGAGCCCAGCTTTATCCAACTGTCTTATAATAATTTCTAACTTAGCTATCTGCAATACTTGGAGAAACAATTTTCCTGTTTCTTCTCTAAGTTTTATTGCACTCACATGTGATCAAGCTGAGGCTGTCAGCCACAGACTTTATTTCTCATGTGTGTGACTTGTCTTGCGGGCAGGTCACAGGTCATCTGACAGAGTGCCCTAGTCCTCAGTGTTACAGGGTCTTATGGCTGAGGGATAAGCAAGATAGTTCTTAAAGCTTTTCCTAGGATGTCCTTTTTTTTAAGACAGGGTCTCCCTATATAATTTAGACTGACCTTGAAATCACTACCTACCCCAGGCTGGCCTTGAACTCATGGCAATCCTCCTGCCTCAGCCTCCCAAGCGTCAGTCGTGGAGGTGGTGTGTACACTGTATGTACTAGAGCCTATAAATAGCCATGTCCTTTACCTCATGGTGGGACTTTTTTGGTATGCCCTCCTTAAGCCTTGGCTACAGGCTGCCTTAGAAGAAATTATAAGAAATCCAGATGGCTTCAGAGTTGGTAATAAGGATGAGAAGGCAGGATAAACACTATATGTTTTACTCCAAATATTAGAAATCAAGCTAATTTGGGATGATATTTGGAAACAATTAAGTGCCGTTACACTAGTACAATTATGATCCTCCTTCCGGATGGGAAAACACAGATTAAGTAATTTAAAGAGTAAACGGTACTAATTCAACAACAGCTACAGAACAGTTGATCACTAGTTTGGTGCCGCGTTAGCTTCTAAGAAGTCAGGAAAGAACCGCTGCAGGGCGCGAGCAAGGAAAACGACTGTTTTTGTTGCTTTATTTTCACCCTTTAATGATGCTTCTAAGTCTACAGTCCCTTACTAAGACAGTTCACAGGTGTGGACAGAAACCCGGCTCTATGTCAGGATTTCCCTTTGCGAGCTTGCTCCTCACCCCCGCTCCCGCCCCCGCCCCCGGCCCCCGCGCTCGTAAAAGAGAGCTGGGATGTTTTCTGAAGTTCAGGTGCTGGTATTATTTAACGTCAAATCACAAAATAAATGTTGAAAGTTTAAGTCGACAGACGAGTTAGGTTCCAGAGCTCGCCAAGTTTGATTTTCTGCAAAAAAAAAAAA